GGCTTAGCAAAGGGTAAGGGGCATGTGAGATCGAGGGAGGGAGCCTGGTGGCTGGGAAGTCACCTCTCCCCTCCCATGCAGGACAAAGGTATTCGAATCCTGGAACCTGGACACAGGACCCAGAAAGAATGTGGGCCCGTGGCCGCTTTAAAGGTGGTCATAATTAAAGCTCACTATAAAAAGGAATGAAGATGGGTGCTTGGGTGGCTCAGTTAGTTAAGTATCTGACTCTTGATTTTGGCTCAGGTCATGATCTCACGGTTGGTGAGTTTGAGCCCTGTGTTGTGCTCTGCACTGACAGTGCAGAGTCTGTTTGGGATTCCCCGCCACCCCCACCCCTCTCCTGGTCGCTCTCTCTGTCTCATAAACAAACAAACATTTAAAAAAAATTACTCTATAAATCAATAAATAACACATCACTTGAACTTTACTCTCCTTCAGGGTTTCTACGCCTCACCTCTCTGAGTCTACCCCAAACATCTCAGAAGCATAATCTGCACTCAACTCCCCCACTTCTTCATGTCTCATTCATTCCTCCACCCACTGCCAACCAGCTTCAGACTCCAATACTCCCTTAAAATGGTTTCAACAAAGCTATGATGAGCTGATCCCTTAAAAGCCAATGGTCTTCTTGTTCTTTTTTTTTTTTAAAGCTTTTTTGAGCAAGGGAGAGATGTAATCGTGTTTGCATTTTATTTTTTATTTTTTTAATGTTTTTTATTTATTTGTGTGAGAGAGAGACAGAGAGAGACAGCGTGAGCAGGGGAGGGTCAGAGAGAGAGGGAGACACAGAATCTGAAACAGGCTCCAGGCTCTGAGATGGCTGTCAGCACAGAGCCCAGTGCGGGGCTCGAACCCACGAACCGTGAGATCATGACCTGAGCTGAAGTCGGCGCTTAACCGACTGAGATACCCAGGCACCCCCGGTCTTCTGGTTCTTAAGTCTTGGACTCCACAGGTCGTCCTCATCCCCCTCTGACCATTCATCATTACTTGTTGGTCGCCCTTAGGTAGGCTCCCTCCATCCCAGAAATATTGGGGTTCTCCTTGTCTTTCTCTAATGGACCTCTGGGCAATCTCACTAAATCGCTAGTCTTGACCTCTCTTCAGAGCCTCAGATGTCATTCACCCATTCATTCATTTGCTACAGATTTTCAGCAAACCTACTAAGTGCCAGGGAGTATTTAGCCACTGGGGATACAGCTGCTGGCTTCTTAAAGCCACAGCCCTGGCTTCCTAAAGTATATAGTCTTGTGGGAGATAAAGAACAGGAAAGAGAGGCTCTCCAGTTGGGAGAGCCAAGTAGAAACATCTAGCAATGGTTCTTAATATAAGCCCTGTGGACCATTAAGGCATTCGTATACTGTATGAAATTGCACACCAGGTTCTGTCTGCTTGTACATGTTCAGGGTTATGATCTATGCCTTTCATTAGATGATCCAAGAGGCCTTTGACATGAAAACATTAAAATCCACTGCTCTGATGACAGGTTACTGATGTGACACTTCGGAGAAAAATCAGGGCTTAAGACACAGATTTGAGACCCTCCCCTGAGAGGCAAGAGTGGGGTCAGGGCTCCTCAAGGTCTTTCACTGGAGAATCTCAGGAGCCGAGGGCAGCGACAGAATGGAGGTGACCACAGGACCACACATGGCTTAACTCAAGCTCCAAAAATCTGACTCACACTGTCCCCAAGTCCTCCATTCACGTGATGCCCATGGCTCCCAGAGTAAGAGGCATGGACTACGGCTGTTCCTGGAATGACACATGTCTCCCTCAGAGCTTTGAAGAAGAGGTATTTTTTGGGGGCCACGTTTAGAAGTCAGAAGATTTCCTGCAATGATCTGGACTTGTGTTTACTCTTAAAAGTCTGAGGACCTAACAAATGCCAGCCTGTGTCCCCGTGTCCCCCACCCCCGCACCATCACACGGGGCGGGGCTGGTAGTAGCTGCCTTCTCTTCAGTTCCCACCCCCCACCCTTATACTTGGACTCTGCTCTCTCTCACCTGTGCACTCTCCTCGCCTAAAACTTGGGAAATAAACTGTTTACCAGGCAGGAGAAAACACAAAACTGAACAGAGAAAAAGGGGAAGAAGTAAAACAAAGGATATACATTTTCTTAATGGAAAAATCCCCTACCTTATGTTGTCTGCTGGGAAGACTCTGTATCTACAGCTTCACCTAGTCTAATGCCATTCGGATTGTGAAAATGTTCTCCTCACTCCATCCTTCACCAGAATAAAATCATTACTATTAAAATATTAGGATCACAGTGGGGAGGGGGAAGCCCCCATGTACCAACATTTAAGAACTCACATTGCATCTGCATAATAGCATCAGAAGGGCCATAAAAAAAATCTTCCTACAATTAAGTATCTCCATCAACTATTAACAAATTAAGCATTTCATAAGTTAGGATACATTAAAAACAGATCACTGGTATTGGATTCTGTTTTGTGCATCAGACTCATAATATTAATGACTCGTGATCACGACTCTATTTTCTTGAGTCTCTTTTAAGTGCATATTAATCATCTGTTAATATTTCTGTAACTCATAAAATATAAGCTACGTTTTTGCCTAGCGCCTTTTATCCGTGGGGAAGAGTTATGTTTTGGGGGGCATCTTACAGCATTATACTGCATCCACTTCTTTCCCTCTTGCGGCTATCATCACAGTCACACCCCCATTCTCTTATCAGTCAAGGCTGGAGGTCAGCCTCCCTGTGTGTCAGGGAGGAAGCACTACTTGTGTTCAGTTCAGTAGTGTTCACTTCATGTTATTGTGCAACCAATTTCCAGAACGTTTTTCATCTCGCAAAACTGAAACTCTAGACCCATGAAGTAACAACATCCCCATCCTCTCTTCTTCTCAGCCTCTGACCACCACCCTTCTCCTACCTGCCTCTATGAATTTGGCCATTCTAGGTGCCTTGTATGAGTGGAATCATATAGTATCTGTCTTTGGTAGCTGGTTTATTTCACCTACCATAACGTCCCTAAGGTTTATCCGTGCCATAGCATGTGTCAGAGTTTCCTTCCTTTTTTAAGGCTGAATGATATTCTGCTGTGTGTATAGACCACGTTGCACCCATCCATTCATCTGCTGGTGGACACCTGGGTGACTTTCATCTTTTGGCTATTGTGAATAATGTTGTGAACATGGGTGTGCAAAAATCTCTTTGAGGGCCTGCTTTCAATTCTTTTGGGTATGTTACCCAGATGTGAAATGGCTGGACACAGAGTAATTCTATTTGTAATGCTTTGAGGGATTTCCACACTGGCTTCCATAGCAGCTATGTGATTTTGCATTCCCACGTGCAATACTCGGGGGTTCAGATTTCTCCACATCCTCGCCAGCACTTGTTTTCTGCTGTTTTGTTTATCTGTTTGACAGTCGCCATCCTAATGGACATGAGGTGGTACTCCACCCATTAAATTTTAATATACCAAAGGTTATGCTTTGCTTCTCAGAAAACAGCTTAGCGATGAGTCTACATAATTATTTGTAAGGGTCCAAGAATGTGGCCCTGCAGCATTGTACAAGGACACTGAATGTCTAGGTTGGGATGGAGACTGAGTCATGAGACATCTCTGGTGGAGGAAGGTACTGGCCCCAAACATCACAAGGATGTTGCACAAATTTGCTGCGGGCAGCTCCACTCTGATGCTATTAATTCTTTACCTTTCCATTTGAGCAGGAAAATGAAGGAAGTTATTCAAAATGCCACAGGTAAGGACTTCATAACTACTTGGAGAAACTTCTCCTACTCTGCAGTTCCTTCTTGCTATTCCCCCTTGATACCAACAAACACTGCCTTAAAACCAAGCCGAGGGAGAAGAGCATTTTCCTCGTCTTCTAACTTAAGACAGAACCACGACAGCTGCAAGCCGGTTTGGCCTGTCAGTAGAACTCACAGAAAGCCCCACATGACAACTCAGGTACCATGTTGGTTAAAAATCAGAGCATCTGTGGGGGGCTGAACGATGTCCCCCTCCCCGCACAAAACCCCACACCCTAATCTCTGGAACCTGTAGATGTTACCTTATGTGGGGAGAAGCACATCGCAGGTGTGATTCAGCTTGGGTGAGGGGAGTATCTCACATTATCCACGCGGACCATACGTGCCATCACAAGGGCCCATCACAACGGAAGCAAGAACGTCAAAGGGAGACAATGGGCATGTGACGAGGACAGTAGGGGAGGAAGAGGGATGTGATTGGGCCACAAACTGAGGAATGAGGGCCTCCGGAAGCTGGAAGAGGCCCGAAATGGATTCTGCTCTAGGGCTTCCAGAAGGGCCTCCACCCTGCACACACCTTGAGTCTAGCTCTGTAAAGCTCACTTCGGACTTCTGACCTTCAGAATGGAAGAGAATACATCCGCGTGGCTTCCCGCCACCACATCGGTAGTAATTTGTCGCAACAGCCATGGGACGTGAATACAACATCAAAATCAACCTACGTCATTCAACATCCTTTAGATGCGAGCCCCGATGACCGCACGGAGGGGGTGGGGGGTACTGATCTCCTCATCTCCGGGAGGCTGCAGGGTGAGACCTGGACAAGGGTCACGCAGAGCTGCGCAAGGCCCTCCAGCTGTTCCTGGAGTCACACAAATAGTGTGGAAAGGGGGAGGGGGAAGGTTGCAAGTATGACAAATCCCGAGGAATGAACACCTTTCGAACCGCACAGCTCCTTGACACAGCTCAGCAGACATGAAGACGGAAGGGAGAATAAGGGGAGGGGCGCGTTCCTATCATTTAAGCCTCTCGGTATTGCTGTTTGATGAGCTGCCCCTGAAAACTTGAGCTAAAGCAGCAAAATGCAGAAAATGCAAAATGCGAGAAAACCATGCTGATAAGATGCCCTCAATTCCTAAGGCAGCTTTTGTATGGGGGTCTGCCCCAGGGGGTCCCTCCTAGACTCCCTCCCCCAGGGGCTCCTGTGTCCCTGGGATCTGGGGACGGACGGCCACCAAGAGCTTGCCTGCCACAGACCTGATGGGGAGAGAGGGGTCTCCGGCGTCCCACCAGTCTTTCGGGGGGCTGATGTACATGCACCACAGCTCCCAGCTGTAGCCGTGGGCCGAGTTCTCGTAGCGCTGCACCTCGAAGGTGTCCTGTTTGATGTTGTCGATGGACGGGAGGATCACTCGCTTCCGATTCTCCTGGATTCGGGATAGGACTGGCTCGGCCCTGCAACACAGGGAAGCGGAAGTTAAATCTCTCTCCGGAGGCGCGCCCAGCCCCCAACTGGCACAGACCCCGGGACTACAGAGAATGAACAGAAGCAACATAGCTACAGTGTGGGCCCCGGGCAGGCTGGGGCTCAGATGGAAACTGAGGCACGGGAGTGGCCTGCCCCAGTCGGATCGTGCAGCTGTAAGCGTTCAGTGCAGCTCTTGCCGTGGCCCAGGGGGGATCTCGGCCTGAGAGGCCTGAAGCAAGAATTCAGAATCTGGGGGCCTCTTCCCCAGAAAGCACCAGGCCTCTCTTTTGTGCTGACAGCATCAGCCAAGGTAAGGCCTTCCTGGCTCCAAGAGGGGCTCACCATTTTCATTTCCCCCTCGGGGCTCTGATTGATGCCTCCGGTTTCTTCTGCAGGAGCTGAATTTTCTTCCCCAAAATGGTTCGCTTCTGCCCTTGATGGCCTGGCTTTAATAAGCCTTTCACTAGCTTCTTGGTGTGTGTGACTATTTCAGTTGTTTTAATTGATTATTTAATTGATTCCTTAAAAGGGATCTAATTGAATTGGTTAGCAATGGTGGGCGAGAACTAATGAGAAGCAAATGCAGGCAGCATCCTGCCTCCCAGCTAGCCTGCCTGCTCAGGGCTACAGCGGGAGACAGGCAGGGACCTGGCTCCAGGTTCAAGGTGCCGCTCCGCCAGCTTAGGAGAAAGCAGATGGTCAGACTTCCCTGCTAGCATGTGTCTCCAAGGCAGACATAGGAAAGGATCATTTCCCATATTTGAGAAGGAAAAGATGGCTCTCGTAAGCCGGGGCATTAATCTCTCTGCTTAGAACAGAGCTCAGGCTTTGGAAAAGAGTCAAGTGAAAATCCCATTCCTCTGCATTATTTGGAAGAATAATGAGAACACTCGGCCTGCCTCCCATCTCTTTTCATTTCCAGCTATTGAATTACCTGTTGGCTCATCTCATCTTTCTATTTAAAACGAGCAATAAAATATACCCTGGGCCATTTACTGCCTCCATTGCTTTTGCACACGCCATACAGGCTGAAGCCAAATGGGACTGACTTGCCACAGCTTTCAGATACGCTTCCGAGCTTCACCTCTCCAAGCATCTGCCGATGCCGTTCTCCTCCGGGAATGCCCTTGGTCGCCGGCAGAAAGTCTGGTTACCCATGGAGTCTTACCAGATCAAGTGCCGCCTCTCCCAAGAAGCCTTCCCTGATTTCTCCTGGAGGGAAGGCTCTCTCCTTCCTCTCAGCTCTTGTACCATCCTTAAACCACTTTATCAAAAGTCACTCTGACTACATGTTGTCCTCGCTGATCTCGGAGCACACATTGTTTTTCCTACTGGTCTAATGGTAGCTGATATTTATGGAGCACTTACTACATGCTAGGTACCATTCTAAACATTCCACACAGACCAGGCCGACTGACGGAAACCTCACAATGGTCCTGGGAAGTAGACAGTATGATCAGTATCTGACAAATCAGGAAACTGAGGCCCAGACAGGTTAAGTGGCTTGCCCCGGGTCCCACAGCTAGCTGGTGGCAGTCAGGTGTCTAGCCCGGAGGGTCTTGCTTCACGCCCTACCTCTAAGCTCCACTGTGTCCTACACTGGGGGCCATACTTCCCTCAGCGGGCCTGGTGGCCAGCCTATGGAAGCCTCTGGATCAGCCCGACACTGCGCTGAAGGTTACTGAGCACCAGGGCAGAAGACCTGGGTTCTACTAACACTTCTGAAGCTGCAGAGTGGGATCTCCCTGTCCCTGAGGGAAGGTGCCCCTGTTCCCAGTTACTCTCACCCCTCACTGGAGACATCCCACTTTTTACCATGCTGCCTGCAGAGGGTGCCCTCCCTCCCTCAACCCTAGTGAAGGGCCGGCTTAGATATGTGACCTATTCTGGCTAATGGGCTATGAGCAAAAGAGATGACGTCATATCTGCGAGGACCCTTTAACAGCCACTGCCGGGTTCTTCTCCCTGAGCCTCAAAAATGGCCCTAGACGGGGTCCTGCGTCCTGTCACTTCAGACTGCAGAGATAGAACGTGTGTTTCTCACTTCAACATTGATTGGCATTTGTTATTTTAAAATTGTCTGCGTTTTGCCATTTCTGCAGTTTCAAGCCAGAAGCAGATCTTCAATGATATAGAGCAAGGAAAGTAACAATCGATGGGAAGCAGCCTCCGATCCTCTGTGTCCTGTAACCCCCTGTCCCACCCCCCATCACGGGACCTGTCATCCCCTGCCCCATCCCAGTCAACTGTAGATGGAGCAGTCACTCCAAACCCTTGGATGGCCCTAAATGCACCACCCAACCATGTTTTTAGTTAATGATACAATTATTTCATGGTCCCCTGACCTGTAACCCATAACTAAAATTCCTGGATTTTAAAAACAGGGAGAAAGCGATGAATCACGGGAATCTACCCCCCAAAGCCAAGAGCACGCTGTGGACACTGTATGTTAGCTAACTTGACAATAAATTATATTTAAAAAAAGAAAGAAAAATTTATTTTTTTTAAATGTTTTATTTATTTCTAGGAGAGAGAGAGAGAGAGACAGCGTGAGCAGGGGAGGGCCAGAGAGAGAGGGAGTCACAGACTGAAACAGGCTCCAGGCTCTGAGCTGGCAGTCAGCACAGAGCCCGACGCGGGACTTGAACCCACCAACTGCGAGATCATGACCTAAGTGAAAGTCGGACGCTTAACCGACTAAGCCACCCAGGTGCCTCAGAAAGAAAAACTTAAAAAGAAAAAAAAAACGGGGAATTGGAGGACATCTAGGAGTCACTAGAACTGCATCAAATACATAAATAAAAACAGCCTCGCTTTAGCAACAGATTGTTAATCTGCAGATTTTCTTTTCTTTTTTTAATAGAGCTAACATACATAACATAGCTATAACAATTATGCTAATGAGCTCACATACAGTGTGTGCTCTTGGTTTTAGGGGTAGATTCCCGTGGTTCATTGCTTACATACAACACCCAGTACTCATCCCAACAAATTGCGAATCTGCACATTTTATTTTTTAAAATTTCGGTCTTCCTTAGGTGGTTGTTTTAACCGTGTTTATTAGTCCAGTCATCTAACTGCTACACTGAGCAATTCCTATTTCACCCCTTCAGTTAACAGCCGAGATATTTTACTCTAAGTTTCCATAAGTCCTGATTCAAACTTCTAATCTTTTCACAATAAAGTAGACTGGCATATAAAATAAAATACATAATTACTCATTTCCTACATTGTCTCTTACAGTCATATTTCCGTTTTATGTATATGAGGTGACAGGCTCTAAAAACTTAAATATCAGTGTTCCCCTCTAAAAAGGGAAAACAAATTCTAGTTTTTTAAGTAAGAAGTACATAGTCTTGGAAGGACTTGGCATAAATGGCCATGTGTGTAATCTGTACAAAATTAAGATGTGCCGATTATAAGCAACTGAACCCAAATGTCCATTCTTTTCTGAACTATGTCTCAGCAAATATTCCAAAACTAATGCCAGTTTTCAAAGTGCTATTAGAGGGGTGCCTGGGTGGCTCAGTCGGTTAAGCGTCTGACTTTGGCTCAGGTCATGATCTCACAGCTTGTGAGTTCGAGCCCGGTGACAGGCTCTGCTCACAGCTTAGGGCCTAAAGCCTGCTTCAGGTTCTGTGTCTCCCTCTCTCTCTCCCCCCACCCCTTGCTCACACTCTGTTTCTCTGTCTCTCAACAATAAACAAACATTTAAAAAGGAAAAACAATAAATAAATAAAAGTTGCTATTACCAATCCCGCTGACTTTAGCAAGGTACCTAAAGTCACAGCAAAGATCTCCTCAGGTCTCAGAATGCAGAGGATGTGGAGCAGAGCTACGGAGAGCCAGCCAGCGCCACCCTACCAGAGGAAGACGAAAATCGCCGTGGTCGTATGTCACTGTGGTTGGAGGTTATTACTGCAGTGTAACCTAGTGAGGTTGAGACATACTGCCTACCTTGTAACAAGGAACCACGAGGGACATGGGCCACTCTGGTAGACAGACGTGCGGAAACTGAGTACGAAGAGCAAAGGCCTCTCTCGCACACAGACCAGTTAGACTACAGGCTACCTGCGGGCAGATACCGAGTCTTACCAGATTCTGAACCCCAACTGAGTGACCAACTGTCGCAGTTTTCCCAGGACAGTTCTGGTTTTACCACTGGAAGTCAGCATTTTGGGACATCCCTCAGCACTAGGCCAATGTGAACAGCTGGTGACTCCAACCCCAGCCTAGGACAGTGTCTGGGACCGTGGTAGGCATCCAGCAAATATCTGTCACAAGGACAATTCCGGCAGCCCGCTATTTGTTTAGGTGCATGATAATGAAGGTGTGGGATGGGCGAGCGGAGGTCGAAGCCAAGGGGAAAGGGCAGCTGGGCTACAGAAGGGAAAACCAGCCAGAGCTGGAAGTTGACTGGATGGGTAACATGATGGGGAGGGAAGGATCAAATGAAAGGGATGTGGGAAGAGTCCCAGTTTTGATAGCAAAGAAACAGGGAGGCAAGGATGTGGCAAATAAAGGCAAGAAGGTGCAAAGGGAACATTCGAGTGTGTCTGCTCAGAAGGCTTCCAGCTCAATGCTTCTCAAACCTGAGCGAGCATCAGAGTTACCTGGAGCACTGGGTAAAACAGAGTGCTGGACCCACACCCAGAGCTCCTGATTTCACAGGTCTGAGCGGAGCCCACAAATCTGCATCTCGAACAAGCTCCCGGTGGTACTGCTGGCCTGGGGGACTACACTTTGACAACCATTACTGTACGACATAAATGACCCGGAAGCTTAGAGGAGATCAGGGCTGCAAACACAGAGTTGTGTGTCACCAGGGTCTGACAGTGGCAGAAAAACCAGGAGAAGAAACAGGTGTCTGAGAAGGCACCAGATACCCATGTGCACTTGAACGGACCAGGGTTAACTGTGACCCCAGGGTCCAGATCTTCGTGTACTCAAGGGTAGAACCATTCTCTTCTGATCCAGCCATTAGGAGATTCTAAAATGTGTTGCAAATGAAATGTTTTCATGTTTAATTGGTAACGGGGCATCGGCTCTTCCAATGTGCTATCACCAACAGCATTTATTCAAGATGGTACCACCGAGTTAGCACATGTTACAAACATGATGTGTGAAATGAAAGACTCTGCTTCTTGGGAATTAAGCACACTGAACACAGGTTGTTGAACCTCTGACTTCACTTCCCGCTGGGCACTCAGCAACAACCACATGCCCGTGCTTTTCAACAGTCAAGCCCTAACCCAACGTCAGCATGCTCATTGAATGATTTGGGCATTTTGATGCTGCACTATTCTTGCCTCCTAAGTCTCCTCCTGTGTGCCCCCAATTCCTCCCAGATTGTTCTTTTCACCCAGGAAGCCATCAGGGGCCACATTTGCAGAGATACACCCTTTCCTTCTTCCAAATGAGGTTAAAGATAACCCCTCATTACAGGAATGCTGATGCATAGGGGCACATGTACCACAGTGTTCATAGCAGCACTCTCAACAAAAGCCAAAACATGGAAAGAGCCTAAGTGTCCATCGACTGACAAATGGATCAAGAAGATGTGGTTTATCTATACCATGGAATACTACATGGCAATGAGGAAAAATGAAATCTGGCCATGTGTAGCAACATGGATGGTCCTTGAGGGTGTTATGCTGAGCGAAATAAGTCAGGCAGAGAAGGACAGATACCATATGTTTGCACATATAGGTGGATTAGGTGAAACTTAATGGAGGAAGACCATGGGGGAGAAGGGGAAAAATAGTGGGGGAGAGGGAGGGAGGCAAACCATGAGAGACTCTTGAATGCTGAGAACAAACTGAGGGCTGATGGGGGTGGGGAGAGGGGTAGGGGGGAGATGGACATGTAGGAGGGCACTTGTGGGGATGAGCACTGGGTGTTATATGGAAACCAACTTGATAATAAACTATTAAAAAAAAAGATAATTCCTCATGTTGCAGGAGGCTTTACCTGAGCAGGCAGGATTATAAATGGATCTCTTTCCTCAACATAGCACTCAACCATCCTCCTCAGAAAGGGGAACAAACAAAAGTAGGAGAAGAAAACAGGTGGCTGTCTTATCCCCTGAGTAAGGATCATCTTGGGTTCTGTCCAATTAGTATGTCACTTTCACTGGGTATTTTGGTGGTGATGATGATGATGATAATTGGTGATGATGGTGATGATGAACACAACAATAAGGAACAGAGTAGATAGCAAGCTTCTCCCTGCTTCCCAGTTTTATCCCAGATTATGGCTCTCACCTTCTTTGTCAAACAGCCCTTCTCCATTGTTCTAATGGCCCCAGAAGAAACAGGCAACGTTTCCACCTCCCAGCTTCTAGCTCCTCCTGACCACCCTACTGCAGGTCCTGGGTGCCCCTAGGGTCTAGCTTGTGACCTACCAGCCAGCGGTGAATTCCACGTGGGCGTCAAAGAAGCCAGTGACCTGGCCAGTGGCCGCCTTCCAGCCCTCGATGCGAGCTCGGATCAGGCCCTCTCTCTTTTGGTTGCGTACCACCTTCACCAGCCCCGGGTAGCGCTTCTGGACGTATTCTTCCAAAGGGGCCTTCAGCTCCTCTACAAATGACAAAATGCAAGAAGGTCGTAAACATGTCATCTCACACGTGTGTCCAACCCACTGCGAGGCCAACAGATCTTCAGGAAGTTCGGAGAGGCAGGAGAGCTGCCATGCTAGTAGTTTCAGTAGGAAAGACAACTCAGGCAGCCCCAGAGTCAGAAGACATTGCTGACACACTGACCGGGGACAGCAGTGTCTTCCCAGTATCCCAAGTATACAGTACAGCTGGACAGAATCTGCACCTGGCTGTTAGACCCTGACTGCCGCAGGCCATCAGATATTTCTCGAGGCTTCTTTTCTTGGTGGTCTTTCCTCCTTTCCAGGCCAGTGTTCCTGCCCTCCTACTGTCCCCTGGGTCCTGCCTCTCAACTTCTAACAGGGTTTTCCATTTGCACAAACATTGGCTCCTACAGGATACGGCCTGGATGGCCCAGACCCATAGTCACCCATCAGATGTAAAGTTAACAAGGTCTGGTCTTAGGATAACAAAGTAATCTTTTCCTGGCAGTAGAAGCCGCCGTCATGGCGGAAGTAATGCTACGAGAGACTGAGCTCCCCCTTCTGCGGCAAGCAGGTGGTACGAAGTGCTTTAGTTATATGATCTAATTGAATCCTTACCACAACCTAGGAGGTAGCTGGATTAATTCCATGAATTAACTAGATTAATTCCACTCTGCGAATTAAGAAACGCAGTTAGGGTGGCTCACCTGTCCCAAGGTCACACACCTAGACATGGACAAGCTGAAACACAGCCAAATGTGCCCAACTCCACAGGCAGGATGGCTGGTGCCTGTCTGTACAGAGAATCACCAGGTGGGGGAGGACAGGGAGGGGATTCAGGGACAGGCACACCACAAGGATCCACTCCTGCAGAGACTCATGCTGGAGGTCTCCAGCAGTCCGGATGATTCTGATGCCGACAGTCCGTAAACAGTACTTTAAGAGATACTGTTACCCTCGATTTTGCTCCAGAGGAACCCCAAAGTTTGTATTTATAGGTGCCATGCAGACCTCTCCCTTCCTAATTATACACGGCACCTTTGGGGACTTAAAGCCATACTTCTGAGCATGGGTAGAGGCTGAGCTCTCTAGGTCATGGGTATTGTTCCCCAAGAATAATGCGGCCCTGTGATCCAGGAGGAAGTACAGAGCACAGGGTGTGTAGATGGGTGGGAACAAGAGAGTCTCCAAGGCACAGAGACATGGAATGGGTCTCGTCAGCCAAGTGCATGGATGGTGGGGGCGCAGGAAGAGTATGGGCTGAACTGTATACCCCCAAATTCATCTGTCAAAGCCCTAACCCCACTTCCTCAGAGTACGGTCATACTTGCAGATAGGGACTTTAAGGAGGTGATTAATTCTGAATGAGGTTGGGGGCACCTAGAGCACCTGGGGCCGACTCTCGATTTCAGCCAAGGTCATGATCTCATGGTCCATGAGATCGAGCCCCTCAGGCTCTGCACTAACAGACCCGCTTGGGATTCTTTCTCTGTCCCTCCCTTGCTCGTACGCTTTAAAAATAAACAAACATTAAGAAAAAGAATATAATGAGGTGGTTAATATGGCCTTAGTTCAGTCTGACCAGTGTTCTTATAAGAAGGGATTTGGAGCCACCAGGGGCCACACACAGAGGACACCATGGGAAGGAAGGTGGCCATCTGAAAGCCAAGGGGAGAGACCTCAGGAGACACTAGCCCTACCCACACCTTCCTTGATCTTGGACTTGCAGCCTCTAGAAATGTGAGAAAATAAATTTCTGTTGTTTAAGCCCCCTTCCCCTCCCCGCCCCATCTGTGGTCCCTTGCTATAGCAGCCCAAGAAAACTAATCCAGGGGGGTATTATTAGTTTGGAAAGGAGGAAAAATTGGAACCTGAGTGGGGAAGGGGCAGAAACCTCTAAGGAGGCATGACGTATGGTTGGGTATTTACACTGGAGTCAGACCACCTACGGTTCACAACCTAGTGCCGCCATTTGTCACCTGAGTGGACCTGGGTGACTCAGCTGATCGATTCATGCCTCAATTTCCTCATCTGTGGAAGGGGGTTGATAATCATAGTAAGAACCTCATAGGGTTCTGGCGAGGAGGGAACTAGTTCATGTAGACAGGCGCCAGGGCACCTGGTGGCTCCAATGCTTGAGCGTCTGATTCTTGATTTCAGCTCAGGTCATGATCCCATGGTTGTTGGATCAGGCTCTGTGCCGGGCTCTGCACTGACTCTGTGGAGCTTGCTTAAGATTCTCCCTCTCCCTCTGCCCCTCCCCTGCTCATGTGTGTGGGCTCTCGTCTTTCTTTAAAATAAAAAAATAGAGACAGGATGCCTAGAATGATCACTGGTGAAGCGTAAATATTTGCTCCGTCCTGAGCAGGTAGCTGGCATCAGTAATCATGTTCCCTCTTTCCATCCACGCAGGTGTAGGGCACCTGGGCAGAGATTTCAGAGCAGCCCAGGGAGCCTGTGGAAGCTGCACCCAAGATGGGAAAAGTCCTAAACACTGGAACGAGGGCTCTCAAACTCGAGGTCACATCAGCATCAGCATCAGGTGCCGAAATGATTTGTGGAGCCCCACCCCCACAGTCTCATTTTTCAGAAGGTCAAGGGTGGGGCTGAGTATTTGTGTTCCTTTTCTTTTTTTTTTAATGTTTATTTATTTTGAGAAAGGGAACGTGTGCCAACGTGCACACACATGCACGCAAGTATGGGAGGGGCAGCGAGAGAGGGAGAGAGAGAATTCCAAGCAGGCTCTACACTGACAGTGCAGAGCCTGGAGCAGGGCTTGAACTCAGGAACGCTGAGATCATGACCTGAGCCGAAATCAAGAGTCAGACGCTAACTGACTGAGGCACCCAGACGTCCCGTGAGAATTTGTGTTTCTAAAAAGACCTAGAGGGTGCCCATGCTGTACTATGGGGAACCACTTTGAGAACCACTAAGCTCAAAATGCATCAGGCTTTCTTGGTGCATGCTTGGCACATCATACACCCTCAAGAAGTTATTTATTGTTGGGGTGCCTGGGTGGCTCAGTCGGCTAAGCGTCTGACTCTTGATCCGGGCTCAGGTCATGATCTCCTGGCTCATGGGCTCAAGTCTCGTATCTGGCTCTGTGCTGACAGTACAGAGCCTGCTTGGGACGTCCTCTCTCTCTGCCCCTCCTTCACCTGCTCTCTCTCTCTCTCAATAAACATATAAACTTTAAAAAAAAAAAGTTATTTAGCGTTGATGTTTTCACCCACGGGTCTCACCGGTATGGCTAATGTCCTTGCCATCATCCCAGGGGTGGGGCGGGAGCTGGTGGAGATGCCAGGCTGTGGGGACCCTCTCCTTCTTCACTCACTGTGAGAGAGGATAACCAAATACGGGGGACCAGGGTACCCGACGAGTTTTCAGCTTCTAGAAACCATCTATTGACTCAATGCTGGCTGGACCTTCTTGTTGGTTAATTAAGTTCCTTGGAACAAGTATCCTGGCAAGGAAGTTGGGAAGGCCAGGCCTGCTTGGTTTTTCAGTTTTCCTCTTGAGTGCTGGGTGGGTGGGCAGAGAAGGGAGGGACATGTGATGGAAGGCAGTGGATCACGCATGGGCACCGTACTTACAGAAAGGTGCAACGGGAGACCAGCCCGTGCACTAGGAGTGGCCCAGCGTGGGAGGAATTCTGGGAATCTCCATAAGTGCGAGGAGACTATTCTGAGCACTGAGTGCTAAGCACCACACCAGGGAACCCGCAGGCCCTGGTACCCTTTTGCTGCCTGGGACCTCATCATGGTTTGGCCTCGTAACTGGATGTCAGCTCCTCTATGGGCCAGTCACCATGTCTCAATGCCAAGTGGTTTCCTCATTTGCTCAGTGGTTGTGACTGAGACGCGAGGGTGGAGAGAGCGACAGGGCAGCGTGGTTCACCATCACTGCCATCTGCATCTCGAGGCTCCTGAGATATGGGCATTAAAGGGCTTTGAAAAGTATAAAGGGATCACGTCTACTCATTTGGTACCAGCCCGAAGGCTGTTAAGTGATATGTTACATAAACACATTAATCCTTAGTATTAAGCATTCAATAAATCCCATTTCTAATAATAATTGGTCTGTTAATATTACCAATATAGGTCAATCTTATAACTTCCCATGAATGACAGCTTGTCTTCCTAGCTAGTCAATGTCCCTTTAAAGTCTGGAGCCCCTACGTAGGGGTAGATACCATCCTCACTTACAAAGTTTGTGGACGCATTGTCCTAAACACAACAGAAGAGTTCATCCATGGGCTTTTAGGGAGATACTGTGGGAGATGCCACCATCTAATTAGCAGGGTTCAACAGCAAGTGACACCAAGTCAGGCTTCTTTTCCCAGTCACTGCACGTGCTCTATACTTCCGAAGGTAGAGGCTGGCTCCCCTGCTTGGATTTAAAATTGCTTCAGACCCAAGTGTTTCCCCCTGACGGTTACAATCTAGTTCAGCAGGTGAGATATGTCCCCAAAATGACAGTATTCGGTATGACGAGAAAAATGGGGCTAATGGCCCAAGAAAAATGGCCACAGAAGGAAGTGTTATGAGGAGGGAGAAATTGTTTTGGCTGGGGGTGCTCATGAAGAGGGTAGTGTCTGAGTTCAGCAGAAGGTTTGGACATGGGACTACACAGTGCAATGCAGAAGCATAGAATTGGGTCTTCTTAGCTACAGCAGAATTACTAGTGTCTGGGGGCTGGGAAGATGTCATTAATTTAAAAAAAAAAAAAAAGGCAAAGAAGAGAAGTAGAAGAACAGGCTGGGGACAGGCTGAGGCACCAGCAGACACTCAGGTAGACCGCTGAACCAAACCAGTGATCGGAGGTGAGGAGAAAGGCAGAGAGCGTAGGGGACACTGTGGTGACAGAGAAGGCCACACGGGAGGCTGAAGACTCAAGGAGATGGAGTGGGACACACGCGCATTAAGGAAGCAGGGAGAAGAGCTAGGGAATGGGGCTGGCTAGAAATAGCGTCATGGAGGGGTGGGGTAGAGAGGAAGGG